TGGGGTTCTACAGCTCTGCCAACTTTCCACACCACCAACAAAGGGGTGGATTACCTCAGAGGCATTTCCTGCTGTAAATCCTCCCTGTAAAGCAGGGACAGGGCTGAGCACTCCCTTAGGAACTGTGAGCAGAGCATCACCTTCATTCTGCAACCACCTCTGCTGCTTTTCCAGTCCAACATTGCCCTGATGCTGCTGACAGATGTTCCTGCCCTGTGTGAGAACAGAGGGAAAAATCCAGTATTTACTCCCTTGGCCTCCATGCCTTTTTTCACCCAGGACATGCTTTCATTCCAAGAGGGAGCAAATTCTGAATGCAAACAAGTGATTGAGGTAAAATTGTGACTTTTTGAGGTAAGATTGAGTCCTTTTCACCTTTTTTCTCCTTGGGCAAAAGAAGGAAAAGTGTTACTAACCCTCTTCCCCAATCCAAGGGTTTTCCAATTAGTGCATTTGTGGAGTTTCCAGTGAAATGGCCTCAGGACCTTCCCTGCCTCTGGATCCTTCTCCTTCCAAGCCCCTCTGACTCCCCTACAAGAGTAAAACAACCACTGCAGAGTATTTCCCACCGCCTCTGGAAAATCAAACCTGCAATTCATGGGCTGTGACAGGAACTGTCCAAAGATCACAGGAGAAGGTCAAGACTTAGATCAAAGCTCAATGAATCTGCTCAAAAAATCCCAGAATAACCAAATCTTCCCACTGACACACAATCCATGCACCCTGAGCCTCCTCCCTCTGCAGGATGCTGAACCAGAGCTCACATGTCCAATGTCACAGCCTTTACCAAACTGCAGCCCCTGTCTGAGACTGATTTTTAAAATATTCTCTCTCACTCTGCTGATTTAAAAGGAATATATTTATATGAAAGCTTCAAGCACCTCTGACTGTAAAACGAGGGGGGAAAAGGCAACGTGCTTCACATTCCTGACTGGCATTGCTGGGGTGGTATCTCACACCCTGAAATACAACCTGCAGTAGTCCATAAAATATTAAGACTGCTCGCTGGCCGTGGCCAGGAATACTCTGCAGCAGCAGCTCCCAGGGCAGAATGCTCTGTGAAAGGTCACTAACACAGCACTGAGGTCACCAGCACAACAGCCACCAGGAGTCATTCTTCTCTGCACTATTATTAACAGCACTGTGGCCACAAGGAATCTGCTGGGCTCCCACTGCTCTGCAACAGCTCCAGACAGCAAAACCCAGAACATGCAACTTCATTACTGCACCAATAAAGGGACATTTAATCACAATAAGGAATGACAGCATCACAAATCCCCTCCCCTCACTCCCTTGGCACTGGGCCGTGCTCTCCTAGGGGACCTCTCCTCACTGGGGAACCTGCAGGAGCTCCTGAGGCAGCAGAAACTTCTGCAAACTGAACTGACCCCACTGACATCCCTGCAGGGACGTGAGCAGAGTCCTCACCTGAGTAACTGGAGCCAGGCTGGGAGAGCTGGGAATGTTCCCCTGGAGAAGGGAAGGATCCAGGCAGAGCTCAGAGCCCCGGGAATGTTCCCCTGGAGAAGGGAAGGATCCAGGCAGAGCTCAGAGCCCCGGGAATGTTCCCCTGGAGAAGGGAAGGATCCAGGCAGAGCTCAGAGCCCCGGGAATGTTCCCCTGGAGAAGGGAAGGATCCAGGCAGAGCTCAGAGCCCCTGGCAGGGCCTGAAGGGCTCCAGGAGAGCTGGAGAGGGACTGGGGACAAGGGATGGAGGGACAGGAGCCAGGGAATGGCTCCCACTGCCAGAGGGCAGGGATGGGTGGGAGATTGGGAATTGGGAATTCCTGGCTGGGCTGGAATTCCCAGGGAAGCCCCTGTTTCCCTGGCAGTGCCCAAGGCCAGGCTGGAGCAGCCTGGGACAGGGAAAGGTGTCCCTCCCTGTGGGTGTTGGCACTGGGTACCTTTAGGTCCCTGTGAGCCATGCTGTGATTCCATGATCCCAAGATGAGCTCCAGACCTTTGCTAAGGACAGTTGGGCTCCTGCCCTCCCCCTCAGAGCTGGAGGTGCCCCAGCCCCTCCCCAGTGCCACCCTCAGAGCTGCTCACCGTGGTCTCCCTCATCTGCCCAGAACCATCCAGGCTTTGCACTGCCCTTTTTCCCTGCAATGGGAGGACAAGGGGGAATAAACCTATATTCATTAAATAGTTCTCATTTCCAGGAGTCTGGCAGACTTTCAGCTCTTTGAAAGCCATTCCACAGACACTGAACTCCTGATGACTTCACGGGGCTTTTTATAAAGTGAGATAATGGCAGTGGAGGGACAGGAGCAGCTGCACAGTTCCCTGGCTGTGGCAGAGGTGGCCCAAACCCCACAGCCTCCAGCAGAGCCATCACCCCTGGATGCAGGAGCTCAGGGACACGCTGCTTCCCAGGGCAGAGCCACCTCACCTTCCATGTGGGAATGTCTTGGGACAGATCTCGAGCACATCCTGCTGCTGAAGGATGGGATGGTTTTATCCAATAATTCCCTTCACAGCCTGAAAATTCACTGTTCATCCAACACAGGTTACACCACGTTGAGCCTTTTCAGTGCTGGAGATTCCCTGGCAAGAATAGCTTTGGTGAAAAGCACAGTAAAGATTAAAAACCCAATCTAACTCATGCAGAAGTGTTGTTAATCCACACATTCCTGAGCAAAATACACAAAACAAATATTTTCACACACTGATTTTTTTTTTGCAAATCTGCAAATCAAGTAAATAATTTTCAGGTTTGAATGGAGTTGTTCCTACAATTTTCTTAGTGTTGATAGCCAGCAAAACAATCTGTGTAGAAACAACCCATCCCTTCACCATGGAGAAATACCAGAAAACACAAAAACATCCAATTTACTGAAGGATATTTTTTTTTTAAATAGCAGAAACAGGATAGACTAAGGCAAGACTAAATCTAGATTGTCCCAGGCACGGCAGGAGCCCAGTGAAACAGCACGAAATTGCTGTGATAAAAGCTCATCCTGAGAGATAAAAACTAACTTGAGGGGTTTACTGGTGTGTGAAACAGATCATTAAATTACTTTATTCGGGCTCAGAGGGGGCTGAGGTTTAGGAGAGGTGGACTGGGATAACCCCACAGCAGGGGAGGGCCAGGCTGGATCCTGGGGAAAATTCCTTCCTGGGAATTCCTGCCTAGCCCAGGCAGTGATGGAGTCCCCATCCCTGGAGGGATTTGAAGCCCTGTGGCTGTGGCATGTGGGGACATGGGCAGTGCTGGGGATGGTTGGACTCCATGATCTTGGAGGGTTTTTCCCTCCAATCCAAGGATTCCTTGCTCCATGTGCAAAGTTTTCCCTTGTTTGCCTGGTGGGACAGCAGCTCTATGACAATTATTTCCCCAAGTCCCACCCGAGTGATTGTGGCACTGCAGGGAATGAGGGGGACAGGGGATTTCTTTTGGTGGCTGTGCTTGCCTAAAGAATTTCATTCCCTTGGATGAAGCAAAACAAAACTCTTCATTTGAAGTATTTGCTGTCAAAAGGAGGATCCTGCCCCCATCTGGCCTCCCTGGAAGGGAACAGCTGGAGGAAGAAATCCCAGATTCCCAGAGCTGACCTGGGACTCTGGGATTTCAGCTCCTGACCCGGCACAGGACAGCCACAGGGATCCTTCCCAGCATGTCTGGGAGGTGCTGGCATGGGAACACAGAGTCCTCAGCCACTCTCTGTGCTCAGGAACAGAGAGAATCCACCTTTGGGTGCAGAAGTGCAGATCATTGGAACTTCCTGAAGCAGCTCCACCACTGCCATCATCTGTGTGGGATGCAGGTGGGTCCCACTGTGCCGTGCTGGGAAATGCACCCTGCCATCTGCCAGGGCATGGCAAGGCACCTCAGTGCCCTCAGCAGAGCTGTGCCCACCACCAGGAAACACAACAACGATGGTTCCATTCCCTTTGCCTCCCAAAATCCCTCAGGTGTGTCACTGCTGGCCACAGACACCCACTGGTAAAATGACCCAGCCTCAGAGCTGGACTGGCTCTTCCTCAGGGCTTTGAGGAGGAAAAGGGGGAAAAACCCAATGGTCAAAATCCTGAGAGGCCTCTTGCTTCCAGAGAAGCAGAAATAAGGTTTCATTTCAAATCTCCAAGTAGCTGAAGCCCAGATATCCTCCAGCCCCTTCCCCCTCTCCCTGCTCCAGCCACCCTGTCATTCCTTCACTGGTGCTGCTGCTCCTATAGCAGGAAAACCCTGCAAGAATGGGATTTTCTCACCTTATCTCAGTTAAAAAAAAGAGTTTAAAAAGTTTGTGCATTATCCCAGCGTTCTCTTAGAAACACCAGGGATGAATGGTCCCAACACGTGATGGGAAAATGGTTGTGCCTGGATTCAGGCTGCCCTTGCCCACAGGATGGCAAAGAGGGGCTGTTCCTCCCTGTCCCTGTCCTGCCCAGGGAACAGTCCCCACTGCTGAACTCTGTCAGCACTCCAGGATTTTATCCTCAGGGAGGACCTTATTTTTATCTACAACTTACCTGAAAGGAGGGTGCAGCCAGCTGGGGCTCAGGACCTGCTCCCAGGGAACGAGGGATGAGAGGGAACAGCTTCAGGCTGTGCCACAGGAGGGTTAAACTGGATATTAGGGAAAATTTCTTCCTGGAAAGGGTTGTCCAGCCCTGGAATAGCTGCCCAGAGCAGTGGTGGAGTGCCCATCCCTGTAGGACAATCCAGACATTGGGATTTCTCAGGAAGATTTGCACATCAAGGAAAATTCAGGACTCACTGCAGCACCTTTGGCATCCCAGGCACGGTGGATCTCCAAGAAATTCCCTGGCCAGCTCCACACAGACAGTTTGGTTTATTTGTTGTTTACACAGCTCTGATTTCCACCCATTAACCCAAGTTCCAAAGCCAAACCCACAAAAATGTCTCAACATCTGTGAGGATCCTGCAGCATAAAGCTCTCCCTCCTTCAACATTTACACTAAATCTTTATTTCTGTACAAAAATTTAGACAATTTTCATTGTTCCCACAACCTCTTTACATGACCCCACGAGTTGCCTACATATATATATACACATATTTGAAACAGAAAAAAAACCCTTCCAGTTCTGAAGAATGAAGGTAAAAACTGTCGGAACTGAAAAATTAATGTCAAGAATTAACTGTATTTATTGTCAATATTATTGACTATTCTGTAGCTTTACATGTATTTCATCCCTGCATTAAAATAAAAACATTCAGAATAACTCAATACAGACTGTGCAACAAGAGCAACACAACCTGTAATTTAAAAAGTGGTAATAGCATCTAGAAAGAATTAATTATCCAATTAAAACGTATTCATTAAAAAAAAAAAAACTTGAAGGAGAACTCAGCAGTCTTAACTTTTATACACTCAAAAAAAGAGCCAAAAAGTAACATTTTCTGTTCAAAAGCCTGTTCACAGTTCCATACACAGGCACGAAGGCCTAAGGAATGCACAGCTGGGCTAAACCGGACAAAAATAAAGTGTGAGAACAGTGGCTTCTCTTTTAATCACCTAATATTTAACTGGATTCCAAGGAAAACTGTAGTCAGTTTTCAGAAGTTCTATCAAAGCCAAGGAATAATGGAGTTAAGAGGGACAGGCAGGACAAGACCTGGCTTTAAGGCAGCTCAGCATTCCTTCACCTGCCACAAAAATGTCCCCAGAGAAGCTGGAAGGACAAGGAATGTGCAAAGGCATTTTGGCATCTCCTCCACCATCCCAACTTGGGGTTTGCTGCAATTCCTTATTCCCCAGAACTCCCAGAACTCCGTCTCTGTGCGTTATTTACAGGAGGTCATTCCATGGGATCACCCCATGGATGCAGCTGGAGTGACCCTAAGGAGGTCATTCCATGGGATCACCCCATGGATGCAGCTGGAGGGACCCAAGGAGGTCATTCCATGGGATCACCCCATGGATGCAGCTGGAAGTGACCTTGAGGAGGTCATTCCATGGGATCACCCCATGGATGCAGCTGGAGGGACCCAAGGAGGTCATTCCATGAGATCAGCCCATGGAGAAGGAGCCAAAGTCATTCCATGGGATCAGCCCATGGATGCAGCTGGAGGGACCCAAAGTCATTCCATGGGATCACCCCAGGGATGCAGCTGGAAGTGACCCTAAGGAGGTCATTCCATGGGATCACCCCATGGATGCAGCTGGAAGGAGCCAAGGAGGTCATTCCATGGGATCACCCCATGGATGCAGCTGGAAGGAGCCAAGTTCATTCCATGGGATCACCCCATGGATGCAGTGGGAGGGACCCAAGGTCATTCCATGGGATCACCCCATGGATGCAGCTGGAAGGAGCCAAGGAGGTCATTCCATGGGATCACCCCATGGATGCAGCTGGAGGGACCCAAGGAGGTCATTCCATGGGATCACCCCATGGATGCAGCTGGAAGAGACCCTAAGGAGGTCATTCCATGGGATCAGCCCATGGATGCAGCAGGAGGGACCCAAGGAGCCCCAGTGCCCCCAGGGCTGGGCAGGAACACCTTTACCCAACCCTGGGACCACCAAGGCTGGAAAAGCCCTCCAAGGTCACCGATCCAACCCGTGCCCGACCCCGCCTTGGCACCCACCCAGTGCCACATCCAGCCCACCAACACAAAGCTGGGAATTTCATCCCCTAACTCAACTTTGGCTCCATCTCTTTTGCTTTTTAAGGAGTTTCCTGCAGCCCCCAGCGCTCACAGGTACCTGTGTGTGATTTATGGGTATGGGAGAGGGGCACATCCCTGGGATTCAGCATTTCTGATGGGAAAACAACATTTCACACTCATTTTAATTCCCAGTCTCAACACCAACCAGCACAGACTTATCACCAAACTTGCCCCAAAGAAATTCCCCCCATCACAGGCTGAGCAGAACAGCACAATTCACCCCAAAAACACCTAAAGAGCCCCAAAAACCAGGTCAGAAATCACATATTTGCTTGAAAACTTTCACTGCAACTCCCACACACAAAGTTTAATGCAAACAGGCACATTTTACAAGTGTTTTCAACTTAAAATCATAAATACTGGTAGGTTTTAAAGAATTAGCAATTGACATCACCTATAAATGCATAAATATGATGGTACAGAGCTCCCAAGCCCAAATTTGTATTTGCTCTACTTCAACAAGAATTAAGAGAACGGAACGAGTTCCCTTCAGCTGCATGAAAACCAGAGTCTGAAAGACAGAAAGTGGCAAAGGAGAAACAATTCAAGGAATGCTCTGATCAAATTTCAGGGGGGAAAAAAGTTGCCTAATAGAATCCTGGTTTTCCTTTAATAAATAGCTTTATAAAATGTTTTGGCTAAATGGCTTCAATGCCCCTGTGAGTGCAGACACAGGAGTGCTCCAGCTGGGAGCTGCCCGCCCTCCCAAGGCTTGGGATTCACCTGCAGCATCATTTTACACATTCTGAAATGAAATTTTCCTGCAGTCTCAGCGTTGGCCATGTCCTGGCTGCGTTTCTTTCAGGAAGGTGACAAAGTCTGGAGTGGGAGAAGCACAAAGCAGAAGGGATGAAGGGAAAGCTGCGGGACCCACGGGATGTTCTCCCTCCCACCCCTGCCCAGAGCTGCTTTACCCGGGCACTGCAGGGCACAAACCTGCCCCAGAGCCGAGCCTGAGGGGTGCAGAGACACCATGGGGTGCTGAGACACCCAGGGGTGCTCGACACGAGACACCCAGGGGTGCTCAACACAGACACAGCAGCACCAGGGCTGTCCCCATCGCTCTGTCACACACACCCCAGCCCCACACAGGCTGAGCTGGTTGAATTTTTTACCCTCTGCACAGAATCCAGCTTTTCTTGGCCCCCTCCCCAGTCAGACAAGGAGAGCATGGAGCTGAAGATGTCCAAGGAAGGATTCCCAGCCTTCCAGGTAAAGCAGCATTTTCTGGCTTCCTCCAGTCTCAGCTGAGTTTTGTACATTTCCAAAAAATGTACAAAAAACTTAAAAACCCCACCCAGCTCTGTCCTTACCCAAAGTCTGGCTTAAAAGGCTCAGGGTGGTAAAGTGACTCCACTGTGGATAAAGCTACAATAGAAAAATTCACTGGTAAGGCCCTCTTAAGGCAAGGAGAGAATTCCTGCTCCTGATTCTCACACATTAAATAAAAAGCTGCACTGGCAGCCCCTTACAATTCATCATTTTTGGCCTTTTAATGTATTCACCACAACGATATATTCAAGTCACATCTGGATTTATAACCAGGCCACATCTGTGTTATCACACGAGTGCAAAGAGATTTTCCTTCCTCGGTGCCACTCTTGGTGCCAGGGATCAGCCCAGCCCTGCCCTGCCCAGGGCTGCCCAGCACATGCATCTCAATTAGCTGAAAACCACTTTTCAGCCCTAATTAATCTGACAGTGACAAACTTGGTGTTCCACCAGCAGCGAGGAAGGAAGCACTGCCACCAAGGATTCCTGGACTGAGTTATTGAAACACTCCCTCGACAGGAATTCCAGCCAACCACCCTGACACAAGGACAAATTCAGTATTTCCTGTCCCAAAGCAAACTCGGTGATACCTGATAAATGGAAAAGTGCTTGGAATGGCAGGGATAGGAGAAGTGTAACAAATTTATCACAAATCCTGTTAAAACTTGGGTGTGGGGAGAGGAAAATCCACTCACTTCCACACACTGGGAGGCTTTTCTAGATCTGGAGCTCTATTCTAAGGGAATGGGAATCGTAGCATAGGAAGTAAAGCTGATTATGGAATTAGATTTAGGCACTTGAGCTGCAGAGATGTGGAAAGTGCTGGTCAGGTGCATTTGCCATTCACACACCTACACAATGCTCAGCAGAGCAGCTGCTCAGCCTCCCAAAAAGAAAAGATATTAAAAAATGAAGCTGTTCACATTCCCCAAGTCTATTTTCCACCTCTCCTCACAATTAAAGACCTGGATAATTCCCAGATGCCAGAAGCAGCATATTCCAGAGATGATTTACCAAACTGATGATCTTCTGAACCAAAAGAAACATTTGAAATATCCGATTATTGAAATGTGATCTTTTTGGTTTTTTGCTACTAAAATGCCATTTTGCAGCATTATTTCAATAACCATTTTTAAGGCTCCTCCCTTTTCCCAAGCACGAATTTCATGGAGAAAAAAGGCAAAGCAGCAGAACCTTGAGGGTGAAACAGCAGCATCACACCCCAAGGTCACACTCAGGGTAAGGCAACCCCTGCCCAGCAATCCCCAGTGGGAGCAGCACTGATGCAAAGTTCCCTGGATTTGGGGGAAAAATGGGAATTCCCCTACAGGGAAAAGAAAAAAGCTGTCAACAAGGAGCACTGACACAAAACACAAAGGGGTCGAGAGATCAAAAGTTTGGCAGCTCTTCTCAGTGACTGAATTTAAAACATTTCTTTGTTCAAAGCACCCTCACAGCAAATATTCCAGGTGAGAGTCTGGAATTGATCACAGCAACCATTCCAGGGAGTCTGGATTGATCACACGGGCTGGAATTGATCACAGCAACCACTCCAGGCCAGTCTGGAATTGTCACCTCTGCTGACAAACCCCACCATCCCCACTGACTGAAAATCAACATTTAAACCCCAAAAGCCCCGGAAAACACCACGATGTGTCAGGAAACATCAGCCACCACTGAATTCCTGACACACAACATGCACAGAAAGCTGACAGTGACCCATGAGATGTCTGCAGTCAGGTTAACACCGGGTCTTCACTGCCCAAAACACAGAAAACAATGGAATGTTTGCATTCCAAACCCCTCGGGGCACAGAAAACCCTGCCTGACAGCCAGCCCTGAGCTCTGCAGTCACTCCCAGCCCTGCTGGGCTCTGTGGTCACTGGGGAAACCAAGACAAGGTGAACCTCAGAGGCCACTGCAAGGGAAGAGTAAAAGCAGCCTAAGTGATGTGTAAACACAGAGGATCTGCTTGCAAACAACCCACACCTGCAGCAAAAAGCTCCACCACCAACAGCAACAACTCCTTTTCTCAGCAGGCAGCCCCCAGCTCACCCAGCCTGTGTGGACTCAGCCCAGGGAAGACACAAGACTCAACAACCAAACACTTGGGTTTAGAAGCAAGTCTGCTTTTTCTTTTTTTTAGACTAGAAAATGTACAATTCCATTTCATATGCAAGTGTGCACAGAGCTCTTTGCTTGTAGATACTGTCAGAGAAACTGAGAGAGTCTTTGCATTAAATTGTTAATTCTTCAAACATTGATACATTTTGCAATACATCAGTTAAATACCAAGATCTATGTGCATGCACTAGAGATATATGCATGTACACCTTAATGTTTAACAAAGACAGCAGATCCCCCGGCCAGGGAGCGTTGGAGATACCAAAAATAGATTAAAAAGTTAAATTCTTTACCTGCCTTTGTTAAATACAGACTTAGAGATTGCCTCCCGTCCTTTCCCCAGGATTCCCATGCTCCCAGGGAGGCAGGTGGACAGGAAGGCAGGAGCTGACCAGATTATCCCAGAACCAAAGAGAAGCACCTTAAAAAGTTCAAACTAAGCTTTAGAATGTCTTTAAAATGCCTTTTCCATCCTTACCACACACGGGGGCTGAGAAAGGGAAGAACATTTTAAACACAGTTTTGTTTCATTTTGCTGAACTCCCAATGCATCTCCCACAGAAGAGCCTGACACTTCCAAGCATCCCATTGCCTTCCCAACTGCCTGGACCCTCTAAAGTGGGAATTCTGACCCCCTTTTGCCTGGGACAGCCATCCCAGCAGGAGCTGCAGCAGGGAAAGGTGATCCCAGTGTTCTCACACTGCCTGGGGACCATGCAAGGGAGTTCTGCTTTCAAGAGTTCTGCCCTGGAATTTGTGTGGGTCACCTGGAGCTTTTCAAGTAGTGTCATCTGCTTTGTCCCCATCCAGTCCCCTCCACTGCATACTGATACATCTGCACGTTTTAATATCTGCACATTTTATGTAACAAAGAGTTTTTCCTCTGAAAAACACTTCATTAGAATCTGCCTTGTACGATTCCAGTGACACTTTCAAACATACTTTTGTGCCTCTTCTTTGGTTAAGAAAAAAAAGATACTTTTCCCTTCTTGACAGCCAAAGGTGTTTCTGCCAGACCTGAATCAACCAGCACAGCAGAGAAGGAAAGCAGTGGACAGGACCTGCAGCATCACCCAATCCAATGATGACCACAATGAAAGAGGAAAACCCATTTTATCTGAAACTCTTTGGCAAATTTGTTCTGTTTGCCAACCCTGGAATTTGAAGCTCAATCCATGTGCCTCAATCCATTCCAGCCTCCTCCCCAATCCAAAAATCATGGAAAAACAAGCAATGGGCTGAAGAGAGAGTTTGTTGACCAGGTTGTGGAGAGCCCAGGTGTGACTGACGTTGCAGCCAGACAGACATGGAGGGACTGGTGACACGGGGACGTGGCCATGCCACAGATCAGCACTACTGCCAACAGACTGATTCAGCTTTGCACTGGGC